AATTTGTTTGCAGTATACTAGGGAAGAAGAAAGGAATGATAATAATAGTAATAATAATAATAATAATAATAATAATAATAATATTGAAGAGGGATGATAGCCATCCCTCTCTGCTACTGCTGTTCTTTTCATCCTTGCACCCTCTCATGTGCCTCTGTGCCCTCTAGTGGTGACGGGAGGCAACGTCTCCATCATTTCTCTCTGGAACTGTTGATGGTTTAATCAGCAGAGCCTGCAGGGCTGGTGGCCCCCAGGGAGAGCCCATGAGGGCGAGGCTTGGGCAAGTGACTCCAGGAAGTGACCTTGCTTACTCAGCATTGTTCCGGTTGGAACTCGGAACCCTGGTTGCCAGGTAACCAGACGCCAGCAGCAGCAACAGCTGACTGGACAGACCAGCTGTTCCAGAGGAGCTGGAGAGAGGAGTCTGTTCTTCTGCTTCCAGACCTCCAAAGGCTTAGGTCTCTTGGAAGCCAGCGGTGGTCGCCTGGGCCGCTGCTGGAGACATGTGGTGTGCTCACTGACACGTTTCTAGCCTTTTCCCCACCGGGAGACCAAGGTAATCAGGGCCGCCCTGTGGTAGGGGAGCTTTCTGGTCCACTCCCACCCACCCCCATCCACCGCAGTCGCGGCCTGGTTGAGTGTTCCTGTTGGGTCACTAAGGAACACTTTTGAAGCCTTCTTCTGTGTAGGGAAAGGGGTCGTTGGTGCCCCTCGGGGTTTGCACAGTTCAAGCCTCCCTCCTGCCCTTGTCCTTCCTCAGAGCGAAAGAAAGTGAGCCTTCCTGCATGGTATCCCCATTGCTCAGCAATGATGGCATGATCTTCGTGGAACAGATGATCCCATATTTGCCCACCACTCTTTCTGGCCCTTTATCCAAATTTTGCAACCACTGGAGTGGTTCTGGACCTGATCCTGAAAAGGTGGTCGAGCGGCTCCACCAGGGATCCAGCTCTCAGACCTCCTCCTGCTGTTTCCTAGGGCCTGTGCCCTCACAGAACCGGGAGGACTGAGCCACAGCAGCCTAGGTGCCGGGCCTGGCCCTTTAAAGTGACATGGCCATACATGGACGATTGGGGCAGAGGTGGGGCTCTAGCAGGTGCCTTTCACCTTCCCCAGGGAGTGTCACACATCACCCTTTCTCAAGCCCTGAGCATCCTTTACCCCTTTGTGTAAAGGATTCTGGACCCCATCTGCGGCGTTTGGGATGGATGGAGCCCCCAGGACCCCTAAACCCATCACTGGGATGATTCGAATATCAACCTCTAGACATCTGGGTGGGTTGGGGACACAGGCCTTAGGGGTGACACCCCTGTGGACTGTCACAGGTATAGATCCTTCAGGCCCGACTGTGAGGAGGACCAGAAAAGCATGTGAGTGAGCTTGGGGCAGAGGAGGAGGTAAGTGGGGAGGGGCGTTTGGATTGGCCGGGATGGAGGACCAATAATGGCCAGGAGCCTCGCCTTTGGGGTTCTCGCCCTAAGGACTGTCCCTGCAGCCTCGCCAGGTGGTGGAGGACAGAGGTCTCCCACCGGGCTCCTGGGTTTTGAGCAGCAGAGGGAGAGACAGGAAAGGAAGAGCTCTGGGGGACACCCATGCCCCTTCCCCCTTCGCAGCCCTGAAGCAAGGCAAATCCCCCGACTCCGTGTCCCTCTGTACTGTTCTCACCCGCAGCACCATCTTCTTTTTCCTGTCCCAGTGGCTGCAGGGATTCCCCCTGGATTTCTGTGGGGTCACGGACCTGACCCTAGTGAGGCAGCTGTTAAATTACACCAGGGTTCATGTGCCCACCATGGAGGTGGACCGCCAGGCCAGGGAGATCCTCTGGGGGATGGATGACCAGAAGACCAAGAGGCTGAAGCCTGAGGACAAGGGTGAGGAGACCTGGGAAGGTGCCAGGTGATCCTGCTGCAGGTTCTAATCATGGGTCACACCGGGGAAGTCTCCTGAATCCCTGGCCCAGAGGAGAAAACCAGGACGCCTTTCAGCTCAGCCTTCTTGTTGGAAGGAGAGGGGACTGTGCCTTCCCTGGCATTAAGAGGCCTTCTCTGGCTAGCTCACCCCGTTCTGTGCTCTGTGCTCAGATCATGGGCTCCTCTTCTGGGCCTTGGCTCCAGAGCCTCTCATGCAAGAAGCCTCGGGGGCACAGGAGACTGGGAGACTAGCTTTGGGGGCAGATGTGATGCCCTAGAGGGTGCAGAGTTCCTGGAACCCGCAGCTGTGGGACCCCAGGTCATGCCTGAAGCTGGAACAGTTCAGCCTTCTCTGGCTTCAGCATCAGCCGATGTGCGGTCCCCTGTGGACCTGCCCGACTAGCTGCTGTTTCCCTCTGCTGTGGTGTACTTGGAGGCCCATGGAGCCCATGTCTTTGTTGCCCAAGGTGGACATATAGTCGGTACAATCACCAGCAGAGCTGCACCCAGCGCCTGCTTCTCTTAAAGATTCCCTTAATTTTGTTTCTTTTTTAATTGCTGTTTTTCACTGCTGTGTTATTGTTGTTGGTTTGAGATTATTGTTAAAAAAGTGTTGCTTACTCATCTTAAGTGATGTATTCAGAAATAGGGCCTCCCTATCCACCCACATTGGGCAGAGCCATGCCTGCGTTATGGTCCTGGTGCTAAAAGGGGCCTCAACTTCTTGATTGCAGTTGATGAGGAGGCCCCACCCACTGTGGGGGGAGCCACAACTGGGGGGTGGTACTTGCCTGGGTGTACCAAGGGGAGGGAGCCTGTGCTTTTCGAGAGCTTCCAGAGAGTTGGGCTTGTGCATCCATCTATAGGAGATGCTGCCAGGTGTATATTTGGTGCCCAGGGGTTCTACTGGGATAGATAGAGCCCCAGAGAGAAAGTCCTACAGGGCCAATGCTTGATAGCAGACTTTTGAGGCCACAGCTGGGCGCTGGGTGAGTAATCTGGACCAGGACCACCAGGACCAGGACCAGAGGGCTACAGTGGAGATACAAAATGAATAAAGTGTAATTTATATTAATAAATAAATAAATTTTAAAAACTTTGGTCCTCAGGAATGTCTCTGGAAATTTTTTGTTTGTTAGGCTGGAGAGCATTATAGCTTTCAGATTGATTGGCTACTCCATGTCTGCCTTGAAGTTTGAATTACATATTTTGAAATTAAAAAATAAAAAATAGTGTACTCTGGGGAATCATGGTCCAAATGCCTCGGGAAGCGTGTGCCACAGGATTTTCAGTTTATAGTAAGGAGCTTCTAGGACACTGTGTCCATTTCAGTTCCTTAGACCTGATGCCCTCCCTCAGGCTTTGGAACATTCAGGACACCTGTGAATCTGTGAAATCACTAGAACTCAGAAAAACAGATAGAACCTTGGAAGAACATTTAGTCTTAGACATTAATCTTCTTTACCCTGTATAGCTTGCAAATGTCACTGTACCTCAGCAACTATAACTATATTCTTTAGGGAAGCCAACATTACGTTCTGTTTCTGATAAGGATATAAGAAGTCTGAACTTGTCACATCCACAGTATTACTGTGGCCCTTCTATCCTGTGCTGGATGTAGGATATTCCATCTGACCTACTTCATGTGACTCTAGATTGGTACATCAAGCCAAGGAACTTTTTATTCTACTAAGGTTTGCTGATTCCCTGTTGAAATCCCAGCCCTTGCCTACATAACTCATCCATTCCCACATGCATCATAATTAGCACAAGACAATTTATAAAGATATTATAGATACATTTCCAAAGAAGACAGAAATTTCCAAGGAAGTAGAGACTAGCATGTGAGCATCTGACTCTATATTTAAATCTGCATCTGTAAAAATGTACCCTTACATAAACTGTACATGAAAACATTTTTTTCACAAATACCCCTTTTTTCCCACTGGAAAATGTCTGTCCCTATAATTGAAAAAACAAACAAACAAACAAAAAAAAAACACCAATCACTTCTGCTTAAGGCAGATTGGTCTCTTTCTGACTTCTTACTTTCTATATTGCCTCAGAAATATAATAGAGTCATGAACTTAACACCATCTACCCAAGCACTGAAAAGCCTACCTCTTCAATCATACCACAAAGATAACAAATCTTCAAATAGAAAGCTTGTAAGGAATTGCACATGTCCAAATTGCATTAGCTAATGTTCATTCATATTGCTGGCATTTAATGACGTTACCTACAGAAGATGCTTTAACATTCCCTGTTTTTGTAGAGACATGTGTTTTCTTCAGAGATCCTGAATATCCAGTCATGATTTCTATGATCAGGTTCAACGACTTTTTCTCAGGTCATTTAAAATAACAATTCTTTTTCCATTGTCCATTATTCATGATTTCTACTTCTTCAAGAAAGAATTTTAATTTATTATAATGAAGAATATACCCTTCATATTATTCTGCTGTAGAGTTTTATTAACTCCATCTTCCATAATGCTCATTGCTCACCCTGCTTGCCTTGTTCTCATAACACACTATGTACCACTTGATCAGTCACATAACACTGTTTCTGAGCTCTGAGTATCTAAACAACTACTAGTTACAGAAAGGCATCGTTGTAGTTCCCCACAGTAAGAGGTTTTTATTTTCCATCATGACAAAATAACAAGATATGAAAATAGGATATTCTACTGTCATTCTAAACCAGGAAATTTCTTCTGAAAATCATAAAAATGAAAATTTATGTTTGAGAAACAATCTACTCTCATAACCTTCAAATTAGAGAGTAGGATATAACAGAATCTTCTCAAGTTCAAAAACTGAAATAAATTACATGAAATTTAATGACTTTCATTTAAAAAAATCAGAGAAGGATCAACTAAATTAAATGTGGCTGGTGACACCAATACCAGCACTTTGTAGGCAAAGGAAATCAGATATCCATGAGTTTATGCCACACTTTTCTACATATGAGGCTTGAGGCCAAGAAATGTAACAAGGAGAAATTTTATTACAGAAAAAAAGTAAAACATGAATTTCAAACCTGAGATAAAAGCAATGTTTCTAGGTCAACAAAGACTTTATTACTATTATGTAAAGAATTATAAACCCTTATACTCTCCTACCTGAATAAGAGATTTAGAATGGTCTGACACAGGCTTCAATCATTGAATTTGATTTAGTAACAGCTTAATTTAATTTTAACTAAATTTTAAGTGACTTCTTTTTTTTTAATGGGTTTTTTGCCTAATGTCGACACAGGAATTCTTATCTGGTCTAAACAAAATGATGTAGCACTTGGGGACAAAGATCAAACCAAGGAGTGCTGCACTGGAAGCCAAGATAGAGAAGGCTTCCATAGCCACCATGACCTTCCCCTTTGTGCTGTGGTAGACAGGGAGGAACGTGACCCACACACAAAAGAATACCTGCATGCTGAATGACAGGAACTTGGCTTCATTGAATGTGCCAGGCAAATTTCTGGACAAGAAAGCCATGGTGTAGCTCCCAAGTGCCAAGAAGCAGAGGTATCCCAGCACACAGTGGAAAGCAAGTGTTGATCCTTTGTTGCACACAATGATGATGTAGCCATGTTCAGCATGAGTATCATGATAAATGAAGGGTGGAGAGGTAAGCAGCCAGATTCCACAGAGAACAAGTTTGATCAGTGTGCAGATGGGGATGATAAAATTAGGGGCCCTTGAAGCCATTAACCACCTCACAAATCTAGCTGGAACCGTGACCTTGAATGCAATAACCACTGTGATAGCTTTGGCTAATACTGTGGAGAGAGCCACGGTGAACAAAATTCCAAATGCTGTCTGCTGCAAGATGCATGTAACTGTGTTGGGCTGGCCAATGAAGAGCAAGGAATTGAGGAAGCAGATGATGAGTATCAATAGCAGGGTGTAGCTGAGAGCACGATTGTTGGCCTTGACAATTGGTGTGTCTCTGTGCTTCACAAAGACTACAAGAACCACAGCTGCAAGTACAGAGAAGCACAGTGCTGTGGCAGTAAGAGCCATCCCCAAGGGGTCTTCATAGGACAGAAACTTCACAGATTTTTTGAGGCAGTGGTTCTTCTCTGAGTTGGTGTAGTGACTTTCTGGACATATCACACACTGGTCCATATCTATTCAGAAATGAAGGGGACTATGGATCAATCCTCAGGTGTTCCATTTCCCCCTAAATTGTTACTCAGCCTCAGCTCATTAAAATGCCTCCTGTCTCACCTTCCTTTATTATTTCAGAAGTAAATATTAAGTACTCTGTGAATCATTTCAAATCTATGCAGCCATTTTTGCCTATGGTGACAAAATCTAAGAATAACAATGCTTTTCCCTTTGTCTTTGTGTTGTGCTTGATTTGTGACATTGCTGTACTTATTTTATAAATCATAGGATTATAGAATATCGTATAAGTCTAGTTCATTCAGAAATCACATTATAAAAATCACTAATTTATGGATATATATTTTGCACAACATGGACAATAATCTTTAAAGTTAATATCTTATATAGCGTTCTAAGATTTGGGACCCTTATTTTTCTAAAATCCCTTGGGTACAACAATTTGGTTCATACTATGTGTGATTTTAAAATAATAAATACCATTACATTCTTGAAGCTTAAATCCTTCACTAGTATATGTTACATTTAGCTATAGCATTATTTTTTAACAGAGGGATTTTTTGCAGTATTTTTAGGTAATCAAAAAAGGAAACTTTGAGTACTCTGATTCTAACAATTGTGGCTTTTATCTTGAATTAAAACCCTTGGGTTTTAATGAAGTATTTCTATTGCATTAAAAGTGCACTATAGAACTGTACTATAGAGCTAAGTAATAAAAATGGTGTGGTCCTGGCATAGAAACAGAATGGTGGATCAATGGAATTGAATCAAAGATCCAGAAATAAACAAACACACCTTTGGAAACAATTTTTGACAAAGAAACCAAAACCAAACAATGGAAAAAGACATCATTTTCAACAAATTGTGGATCTAACTAGATGTCTACATGTAGAAAAAAATGCAAATAGACCCATATTTATCACCCTGCACAAAGTTAAAATCCAAGTGGATCAAAGACCACAACATAAAACCAGACACATTAAATCTGTTAGAAGAAAAAGTGGGGAAGAGCCTTGACCTCACTGGCATAGGAGAAAAATTTCTAAACAGAAGACCAACAGCACAGGTTCTAAGATCAACAATTAATAAATGGAACCTCATGAAACTGTAAAGCTTTTGTAAAGCAAATGACACTATCAATCAGAACAAAACGAAAGCCTGCAGACTGGCAAAATTTCTTTACCACCCCTACATCTGATACAGGGCTACTATCTAGAATATATAAAGAACTGAAGAAGTTTAACACCAACAAACCCAGTAATCCAATTTACAAATGATGTATAGAGCTAATCAGAACATTCCCAACAGAGGAATGTTGAATGGCAAAAGCCCAGGGGTCTTTGATGAGACTGATACTCCAACCAAGGACTTTTCATGGAGATAACTTAAAACCCCTGCACAAATGAAGCTCATGGCAGCTCAGTATCCAACTGATTAGTAAGGGGAAAAAGGGACTGTCTCTGACATGAACTCTGTAGCTGGCTTTTAATCACCTCCCCTCTGAGGGGAGAGCAGCATTATTAGGCCACAGTGGAAGACAATGCAGAGAGTTCTGAGAGACTAAATAGACTAGGGTCAGATGGAAGGGTAGGAAGACCTCCTCTATCAGTGGACTGGGGTAGGGACATTGGAGAAAAGGGAGGGATTGTGGCATTGGGAGGGGATGAGGGGGCTACAACTGGGATACAAAGTGAATAAACTGTAATAAAAAGAAAGATAAAAAGAAATGCTCAACATCCTTAGCCTTTTGGGAAATGCACATCAAA